AATTCAAACGTTACGTAAAAGAAAAATGTCAGAAAGTGACTACAGATATACTTAAGATTATTCGAGAAAAAATTTAATTTCGAAACTTAAAAGTTGGCACGAAACTTGGGATTGTTTGGTTATGATCGAGCTAGCAAACAAAAATTTTCTTAGCATCAAATAATGAAGTGGGTTCGTTCCACTTGGCTAAATAAAAAGTTAGTATACTTATATATCAGCTTCTTAAATGATATCATATTTCCCCTATGAATAGGGCGTTATTGGGTTACATCTAAAAACGCCCACAAAATAGATCGATCAAAATGATATGAAAGCGAGATACATTATTGAACCAATCAAATTATATCGATTCAAAATCATATGATATTAAATAGAGTTAATTAATAAATATTTAAGTTATTATTCGGTACATGTTTTTGATAATATAAATAATAGTATTCCGAGCGATCTTAACCTTTACGGAAACTTCATCTAGGGAATTGGTTGAAGCCAAAACAGCCATTGAAGGTTTCTTCTGCAGAGTATAGAATAAGTTAGAAGTTGAAACATGAGAACACTGAGAATATGCAAAAAGGTGGAACATATATATATATATATTCAATTTTAAGAATGACATGTATGATATTACAAAAATATATCTATTTATATACAGATATAGAAATGCATGCGTGTAGAGATATAGATATATAGGAAAATAAACCATGGGACAGATACTGAGACAATAAACTAGAAAGAAAAAAGAAGTAACATACAAGCTAAGGTGAATTAAAATCTTCAAACAACAGAGAATAACTATACCTATACTACATACATGAATACATATATATATATGAATATATATGTATATATCAAGATATATGTCAAGCAAAAGTATGTGATAAGCAGAAGACTCACGCAATATAACACTATAATACCATCAAGCAGAGAAAACTAGAGAGCTGATGAAGGAAGATGTGAGCAGACAACAAAAATGGTCTCAAGAAAAGAAGTAAACTGATGGGGAAGAAGAACACTGAGAAAAAACATGGAGTTAGAGGATTCAATATATAGAAGAGCAAGAAGGATGAGTGTCATTTTCATGCATGTCTTATCCAATTTGCTGTTCAAGAATTTTATTTTGGAAAAAAAAAAAAGAAAAAACAAAATAATTATGTAATATAATTATAAATTGTGAAAAAAATATAAAAGAGAAGAGATGGGTCTGTTCAAATGAGTTTGTGCCACAAATTTGAGTCATCCCCTTCTTGACTTCTATATATATATATGTATCTATAAGTGGGTATTTATATATGTTGAAATTTCCATATTGAGTTGTGTATTTTTATTAAATTTTTTTATTTAAGGAAGTATTTACATAATTTTTTATAAATTCAATTGAAATTCTCGAATCGGGTTACATATTTTCATATATTTTTATTAAAAAATTATATTATAGTTGATATTTACGTACGAACTAATAACAAAAATTTCGTAATTGATAAATATAGAATTACGTATCGTAATTTCTCCCTATAATTAAGAAAATTTGTGAATTTATGAACTTTAGATTTCTGGGTGTTCACAAATTTTTGATAATCTCTCCTAAATTTCACTCTCATGTTTCCATCACAAACCAATATAAACAGTACTTATAATTATAAACAGTAGATATCTCAAGAAACTTCTTTTTGCAAATTATTACATTTGGAGTGATTATAACTCTTGGACTAATTTGTATTTGGAAAATCACTTTAAACTTTATTTGTCAAATTAATTAACCAAATTGTTAACAATTTCTTCTGCCCTTTTGCCCTCCAAAGTTAATTAATTATTAAGTAATTATATTGTATTGTTAATTCTTTCCATTAATGGAATTGCAGAAGATGAAAGGAAATTTTCCCATCTCAAAGGGATTACATACATATATAAACACATATATATACACAGACACACATATATATATATGCAACACATGAATTAGAATAAGATTAGAACTAATTATGCAATGAATTATATGGACCACAGAAGTTAATCACCATAAAAGTTTCCATTCTAGCATCCAGTCGTTAGATGTTGTTATCAATTTAATCAACAATTGACATTCAATTATTACTTACATACATTTAGTGAAATACGTATATATATATATATATATATATATATATTACCAATAGCAGATTGAAGTTCATCTACTGATTATATAATCCAGTTTATAAGATCAGAAGAAGTATTGATGTATAAGCACAAGAAGTGTTTTGTATAAGCACAAACAAAAATATGATACATGCACATGATCTATATATATAAATATATATATATATATACATATATATAAGCATGCAAAAGGTATTTTGAAGCGAACCCAGAAAACAAAAGAGGGGGGTTATCATGTTATAGGAAAATGTTTTGTTTCATTAGTCTTAAATATCAATTAATATTCTCCAACTTTATATCTATATATATATATGTATGTATGTATACATGTGTATGTGTATATATATATGTATATATGTATAAAAAGAGAATAGCTAGTTGTTAGAAAGATATCAAATCATAGTAAGGTTTTCCCAGAAGTGTATTCTTTCATTCTTGGAAGGCAAACATAACTTTTTCCATTGTCTTGAAACTTCTCCCATTGCTGGTATTTTAAGTTTTTCCAAATGGAGGCTATGATAAATATACATACACACACACAATATATATATATATATATATGTGTATAAACATACAAATGTGATGGGTCACTTTACTCAGGCCTATACTAAATGTACATATAGTCCTAAATGAAATGACAGTGACAATTCAAAATCCAATCAAGCAATTTGATGGAGGAAAGTTAGCCAAGTGTAAAACAAAATTAGGTCATCATGATGATCAAACTACTTTTTATTTTTTTGAATTTTTTGTTGTATGTATAGATTATATTCCATCAAATGACCCCTCACAAATTTAAAATTGACATATGCACTTTAATTAATAATATTAATTATTATAAGTTTAATTTCTTCTAGAAAATAGTAGAGTTCCATAGAATTTTTACATTAAAATACAATATAATTTTAACTCATCTAATTTTTCGAAACTATATAAACATAATTCTGTAAGTAACAAAAATAAACAAGAACTAAAACGAATATCAAACCAACGTTTATTTTATAATTTTTCGATATATAAAGACTAACCTTTTCGGAGACTTGAAGGAAAATGTGATTTTCAGAGGGACTCGAAGGGTTGAGAGAACGAAGTGACAGAATTCTTTTCTCATTTACTGTAAAGATTTAAGAAGTCGAAACCATGCAAATCGAACACTAAACCCTATCTCAAAGTTTAACCTGAGTTTCTCGACTCAGATTCTGATCAACGACACTAATTTGAATTCCTTGGTTTTAAGTTTCTTCCACTTTCAAGAAGAAGAAGAAGAAGAAGAGAGATGTAGAAGTGAGAACAGGAGAGTAGAGAGAGGGCGTGTATGTGTTTTTGTGTGTGTGTGTATACATACGTATATACATATACATTGGGGATTATAATATGTGGCTAGGTTTGAATATTTGTATAACAGCTTGCTCCTTAAAAGACTCTCTCAACAAGTTTAAGCTGTTTGAAATGGCTGAAAATAAGGAGGAAATTTATGTCTCTGCAAATCTCACAGGTTGATTCTCTCTCACTCTCACTGTTTTTTTCTCTTTTTCAATTAATAATATCTTTTAAATCTGGATATATTTAATTTAATTTAATTTAATTTAATTTAATTTTACCCATTTTATTTCTTTCACAAAAATAAATTTTTATCTATTTATTTATTAATTTTTACCTCATTTTGCAGCCTTTCACAGCCTAAAGATTTGGGGTCAAGCAATGCAGCCTGCCTTCAAATATTTACATACATACATATATATATATATATATTAATTTAAGGTAAATTACAAAATGAATTCTCCAAATTTGACATTTGATGTTCCTAATATTTTTTATTACAATTTAATCCTTAATATTTAACATTTTATTTCAAAATTTTAATTTTCATACATTTTCTAATAAAAATATAAAATAATTTTAAAAAAAAACAGTCTAATTTTTAAAAAAATCAAAATAGGACTCCTTTTATGTAAATATGAACTTTTTTCCATTATAAGCCACATAAAAAGGAAACTTTTGAAATAGATATAAAATATTAAGAGCTAAATTGTAAGAAAAAAATTTATTAGGGACTAAACTGCAATAAGTGTTAAATGTTAGGGACTAATTTGATATAAAAAAAATTCAAGTGGTAATTTGATATTTGGTAATTAGAATGTTAGCTAGTCCTTAAACTGATTAATTAGCTGGTAATTGAGATTAGTTAGATTTTAGAAAGAGTAATTATTGGAGAAATCTTTTGGATTTGTGTGTGTGTGTGTGTATATATATATATATATATATATATATATATAATTGTTTGAAATATTTTGAAAATGTATATAAATTCCTGAAGCAACTAATTAACTAGAAATAAGCTAATTAATGGTCTTATAATAACTAATATAACAAAATTAATTAACATAATTAGCCTAAAATTGGACTTTGATTTTGTTTTAACCAACATTTGATATTAATCTTAATTAACAATTTGAATCTTGTAAAATGTTAATCAAACCCAGTTAATTAATTTCAAATTTGCTGTCAATAATTAAAAACTAATTACTTGTTAATCAGTTTTTTTTTTTTTTTTTTTTTACTTGTTCTTAATTCCTATCTTCCAAGTAGATTGAAAATTTGACCTACCAATTTCATGCAACTTAACAAATTAATCACTCATGATTTCCCAGATTTTCTCCCTCAATTTTCTCTCTTTACATGTTTTCTCTGTATTTTTGCTGTCAATTTCATCGTATCTTCTTCTGAATTCTACTACTAATTTTCTTATTTTCTTCTCCCCCTAAAAATCTCTTTGTTTCTCCTTCATGTTCTCCCTCTCTAGAAGAAGAAGAAGAAGAAGATTTGATTTGTGATATCTTGTAGTTACGTTCGTGTCAAAATAAAAAATGGTAGAAGAGATGTCGAGCAATGCGAGGACAAATCTTACGTTAATGGAGACTTCGTCTTCCAACAATAGTGAGAATTGCACGTTGAGTATACGTCCTAGCAAGCGTGCTAGGCAAGATAATGAGGCAACGTGTTCAACCAGGTTCAAAGGTGTTGTCCCGCAACAAAACGGACATTGGGGAGCACAAATATATGCAAACCATCAAAGGGTTTGGCTAGGGACGTTTAAATCGGAGAAAGAAGCCGCCATGGCTTACGATAGTGCTGCAATCAAACTACGAAGCGGTGATTCACATCGGAATCTTCCATGGACGGACCTTAACGTTCAAGAACCGGATTTTCAAAATCTTTACACGCCGAAAGCAATCTTGAACATGATAAGAGATGGGTCTTACCAATCAAAGTTTTCTGATTTTCTAAGGATACAGTCTGATCAAATTAGTTTTGATCATCATCAAGATACAATGATCAACAAGATCACGATCCACGATCATCATCGGCAAATTTCTTGCGTTCAACTCTTTCAAAAAGAGTTAACTCCTAGCGATGTGAGTAAACTAAATAGGCTTGTCATTCCTAAGAGATACGCGGTTAAGTACTTTCCTTATATCTCGGATAATCCTAAACATGATAGTGGAGAAAATGGAACCGAGCAAGACATTGAGCTCGTGTTCTTCGACAAGATGATGAGACCGTGGAAGTTTAGGTATTGTTATTGGAGGAGTAGCCAAAGTTTTGTTTTCACAAGAGGGTGGAATAGGTTTGTTAAGGAAAAGAATTTGAAGGAGAAAGATGTTATAATATTTTACACGTGTGATCATCAGAGTCAAGATGATCATGGGGTCAACACATCAAGCGGTCAGAATACTTTCTTTTTAATAGATGTAAAGCATCATCACTATCATCATCATTATAATCACCATTCTAGTACTAGTGAGAAAGTTGACCTTGGAGTTAAGAGTTACGATGAGTTGAAGTTGGAACTAAATTTAGAGAAAAATTTCAGCTTCAAATTAGGTGATAATCACAATCAAGACGATCATAATCACGATCATCGTACGAAAAGATTAAAGGAAGAGAGATTGGAGTCGACTCGCGACCTCATAGGGGATAAAGGGTTTACGCTTTTCGGGGTAAAAATTAGTTAGTTGTTGTTCGTCAATTTTTTAGCTACTAAATTTTTTATATTGATCATTGCAAATTTTCTTTTTTTTTTTCCTCTCACATTTATATATTCAAAAAAAAAAGAAAAATATATTATATTATTGAATTCTTTTTACTACTAGCTAGTACAATTACTATTATAATTTTATTAATTATTACTTTTATTTTCATAGTTAAAAATAAATATGCCAAATAGTATATATATATACATATATATGTGTGAGTGTGTATACACACACATACACTAACACTATATTTTGGACAAAAATTAGTAAACTATTTGAGAGAAATAAAGAAGAACTTGCTATATAAGTTCGTGTGTGTGTGTGTGTGTGTCTATATATATATATATATATGTATATATA